TCCAGGGTCCCCCTGGCTGTGACATTCAGTGCTCCAGGGCCCTCCTGACTGTGACAGTCAATGCTCCAGGGCCCCCCTGGCTGTGACAGTCAATGCTCCATGACCCTCCTGGCTGTGACAGGATGCTCCAGGGTCCCCCTGGCTGTGACATTCAGTGCTCCAGGGCCCTCCTGGCTGTGACAGTCAATGCTTCAGGACCCTTCTGGCTGTGACAGTCAGTATACCAGGGCCCCCCTTGGCTGTGACATTTAATGCTCCAGGGTCGCCTGGCTTGCCCAGGGGATACAGCTGTTGACAGTGCAGGGCCCACATCTGACCCGTGCTGGTCGGGTGACCACCATGCTGCCAGCTCCTCTCTCGTGTTCCTGGTTCTAGGCTCTCAGCCCCTGCCCGGTCTGCAGAGCCGGCGCTCTCTGGGGGGAAGGGGCTACGGAGCTTACATGTCCATAGTACCCACTGCATGCTGGACACGGTGCCGAGTACTTAGCAGATATTATTTCATGATGCACATGAACTGATGCAAACTGAAGTGAGCAGAACCAGGAGAACGTTGTACACGGTAACAGCAACATTGTAACAATGATCAAATATGATTGACTTAGCTCTTCTCAGCAATGCAGGGATCTAAGACACCTTCAAGACTCATGATGGAAATTGCTGTCCACATCCAGAGAAAGAACTATGGAGTCTGAATGCAGATCGAAGCACACTATTTACTCTCCTTTTCTTTTATTGTTTTGCTTTGTTTCTTCTATCTCGGGGTTCCTCCCATTAGTTCTAATTCTTCTTTACATCATGACTAATGTGAAAATATGTTTACTATGAATGTATAAGTAGAGCCTATATCAGATTTCACACCATCTTGGGAAGCGGGGAGGGGAGAAAGGGGGAGAAAATTTAGAACTCAAAATCTTATGGAAGTGAATGTTGAAAACTAAAATTAAATTTAAGAAAAACATTATTTCATTTGCTTCTCATAACAATCCTGGGAGATTTGTAGGTACTATGATGATCTCCATTTTACAGATAAGGAAACTGAGGCAGGCCTCGGAAGTGAAGTGACTTGCCAGGGGCCACGTGGCTAGGATATGTCTGAGGCTGGATTTGAACTGCGGTCTTGCTGAGTCCAAGCCCGGTGCTCTGTCCCTTACGAGGGAGGGAGGGAGGGAGGAAAGAGGAAGGATGGCAAGATCAGGATGGTAGGGTATCAACGAGGACGGCAGGAGAGAAGGGAGTGGATCAGTGTTTCCTGTATTAAAATGCCTTCAGTGGGCCCAAGGTATTCCTCCTGGCCCTGCCCCACATCTTTATACTGCCTTCCTGCACTCCCTACCAGGTCATTTGAGCCCCGTTGGCTTGCCAGGGGTCCTTTGCCATCCAAGCCCCTTCCTGAGGCTCGACTGTGCCGGGGTCCTCCACGTACTTCCTAACCACTCTCGGGTTCTCCTTGCAGACGCTGACCTCCCCCGCCAATGGTGGCCATGCTCACGGGGTGACTCCCAAGACCAGATGACCTTCATGTCGATGGCCACAGTGGTGGCGGCGGTGGCAGAGCCGAAATGGGTCTCCTCGGTGTGGGGTCGCTCGCTGTGGGTGGTGGCCCTGCTGGGCGTGCTGGGGTCCCTGCTGGTGCTCTTGCTCCCCCTGGGGGCCGTGGAGGAGCAGGGCTCCGCGCTACGGAAAGGCCTCTCCTTGCTGAGGAGCAAGCTCGTCGACGGAGGACAGGGGAGCTTTAACGGGCAGAGCAGTCGGAGCACGGGGCTCAGCGTCACGACAGGAGGGATCAGTCTGCTGGTGGTCAAACCCAAAGCATCTGCAGGTGAGAGAAGGCCCTGGGGGTCTCGGTGCAGTCAGCACAGCAGTCACATTACGCTGTTTGGGAAGCCGTGGGATAAAGAGCAAGGGAGATGAGGCTCCCGTCTGCACGGTCACACCAGACCTGGAGTACTGGGCATTCAGGTCTGGGTTTCACATTTTAGGAAGGACGTGAACAAGTCCCCCTGTGATTTTCCAAACACCTTTCCCTACCGTGTGCTGTGCACAGGGTTACAGAAACCACTGGCAGTGTTTGCCGTCAGGGAGCGGGGACAGCGTGGGAGGTGGGAGGCTTTGAGGAGGGTGCAGAGAGCACCAGCCATATGCCAGGCATTGAAAGAAGGCTTGGGGGTGGTATGCGGGAGCACGTGAGCTGACTTCTGTTCCTTCTGCCTGGCCCCAGAGGGCAGAACTCAAGACACAGACTGAGGATTCAGAGGCCGACTTGGGCCCGATGTGAGGAGAGCTGTTGCAGAGAGGATCTCTGTGACCGGACATCTTTCGGTGGGGGCCGGGGGGGCCACTTGGTGGGTATAGTTTGGACACAGTGACCTCGGAGATTCTCCCTGTCCTGCCACGTCCATTCCCCATGTAAAGCTTTATTCCAGGGAACGTCCGTGTCCTTCCTTGACGATCTCCTTTTGGTGTCTTCTAGATGTTAAGCTGGAAGCCCGAGCGGCCTTGAACCAGGCCCTGGAAATGAAGCGGCAGGGTAAGCGAGAGAAGGCCCACAAACTCTTCCTGCATGCCCTCAAGATGGACCCTGATTATGTGGACGCGCTCAACGAGTTGGGCATCTTCTCCGAAGAGGAGAAGGACATTCTGCAGGCTGATTACTTATATACCAAAGCACTCACCATCTCTCCCTACAACGAGAAAGCTCTGATCAATAGGGACCGGACGTTGCCTCTGGTGGAAGAGATTGACCAGAGGTACTTCAGCATCATTGACAGCAAAGTTAAAAAGGTGATGTCCATTCCCAAGGGGAGCTCAGCGCTGCGGCGGGTCATGGAGGAGTCTTACTACCATCACATTTACCACACCGTCGCCATCGAAGGCAACACCCTCACACTCTCTGAAATAAGGCACATCATCGAGACCCGCTACGCCGTGCCGGGGAAGAGCCTGGAGGAACAGAACGAGGTCATCGGTATGCACTCGGCCATGAAATACATCAACACCACGCTCGTCTCCAGGATCGGGTCCGTCACCATCAGCGACGTGCTGGAGATCCACAGGCGGGTACTGGGTTACGTGGATCCCGTGGAAGCCGGGAGATTTAGGACCACCCAGGTGTTTGTGGGCCATCATATCCCTCCCCATCCTCAGGATGTGGAGAAACAGATGGAAGAGTTCATCCAGTGGCTCAACTCGGAGGACGCCATGCATCTGCACCCCGTGGAGTTCGCTGCGCTGGCCCATTACAAGCTGGTCTACATCCACCCCTTTATCGACGGTAACGGCAGGACGTCCCGCCTGCTGATGAACCTCATTTTGATGCAGGCAGGCTACCCTCCCATTACAATCCGCAAGGAGCAGAGATCAGAGTATTACCATGTGTTAGAAGTTGCCAACGAAGGGGACGTGAGACCCTTCATCCGTTTCATTGCCAAGTGTACCGAGACCACCTTAGACATGCTGCTAATTGCAACCACTGACCATGCTGTGGGTTTGCCGGAAGCTAACCCCAACCATTCTGGATGCAAACAGACTATTCCTATAAAAACCTAAATGTTTCTCTTGAAAAGGGCAGCGGGGTTTATTTTGGAGAAATCACACAGAAGCCTTGAGTGTTCCTCCTGGGAAACGAGTCTTCTCACAAAGAAGGCCAGACAGCGAGGCGTTCTTGACCTCAGAATGTTTCTGGCTTTAAGTTTTTGGAGTTTTTTTTTTTCTTTAAGAAAATAAGTTAAATTAAGCCTTGTGTCTATGATAATAATTTATAAGCTAACTAAGCCAAATTATTTATTTTGGGTTTGTTTTAAAGCAGGCTAAAAATGCGAGATGTTGTAGCCAAACTCTGGGCTGGGCATTAAGAACCTCTAGGCTTTTTCCAGGGTATATAGGGAAGCTGCATTGTGGCCATGTGTCCTATGGGTCCCTGTAAATTCCCTCTGGGTGAAGCAACTGACTAAGTCTCTGGGACAAAACGTGCACCGTGTCTGGAAGGAAAGGGGACCATTCTGCCAAGTCAGAGGGGCCAACAGGTCGGGATGCAGACTTTGGAGACTTCTCATGGCACAGCTCTGGGGGTTATTTTTGCAGATGGCAGGCAGCATTCTTTTGGAAGGCGCAGGCATCTCTGCCCAGACTGAGTTGGTAGTGAACTTCTGCCTAGGAAGTTAACTACTGAGATAGTAAATTAGGGTCAATTTTAACAGCGGGACCTTGTATGCCTCAACTGGCTCTTTTTTTTTCAAGAAGCCCCTCTGAGCTGTACTTCCCGTCTCAATTTTGGTGCCAGAGATCAAGTGTTTTTCTATGGTGGGTTACTTTTGCAATTAAGACGAACGGTGATCAGCCTGGTTCCCTCTCTGTTCTCCCCAATCCCCCTTCTTGGGAAGAGGAACATCTCTGTTAGAGCTGACGTTGTTGGGATGCCAGACCACTCCATCATTTCTTCATCAAGCTGTGAATCCAGGACCATCAAAGACTTGAGAATATCTTCCCTGACAGATCACTCCTGAACCCCTTCTCTACACACAGATTTTCCATAGACGTGATCTGTGGATCTCTGACACAAGAGATGGATTAGAGGTAATCGGCTGGATCACAGTCCTCGAGGAAACTTTCCTGCCTCTGGGGTGTGTCCGTTTGGAGCCTTCCTCGCCTCGGCCAGTATCTTTGCTTTTCTGTGCAATATCTTCTCCCCAGCCCTTTTCATCGTGACTACTCATGACTGCGCCACCCCGTAATGCCCCGGTCACCTTCGGAGATACCTCATGCTCGGCGCAGGCACTGGGCCCTCACGGCTGGGCTGAGGCCTTCCCAGCACTTGGGAGGAAGGAGATGGTCTCTGTTCCAGGTCCCAAGGCCGCGTGTGAGGGGGTCCTTCAGTGGTAACGGCCTTGGTCAGACAGAAAATAACCAGGGTCCGCTCTGCCTGTCGATGGCCATCCCTTTGGTGACCCTTCTGCTTTGTCACTGTGACTCCATCTTGGCAGTGTTGGCACCTGTCAAGCTTCTGCCTGTTGAACCACATAAGCGGTTGTCACAAGCGGACAGTTATTGGAAGCCAGCACAACTTAACGCATCCCTTCTAGCTTTCTGAAAGGCTAGCTTGGCCTCGGCACACAAAATCCAGAGGTTCACAACCCTAGGATTTTTTACAGACCACTGCCATAAATTGTTGAATTTCTTAAACCCTAACTCTACAGTGGATTTGGTTCTTGTGAACAGACCCCAAGGTTAGCTGAACCACTAGACAAAAGCACTTGTTTTTATACTGCAGAATGAATGAATTTGCACTTTAGCTCGACGTGAAAGATGTTACTCTAACAAACTACTTCTTCTAATAAAGTATTTTATTAAATACACTGAGTTAGCCTTATGATATGAAAAGGTGCTAGTGCATATTTAGTTTGAACATGATGGTTAAAACCCCTTCTTTCAAGGCCCAGAGAGGCAGCCTCGGGGAAGATCACCCAGGTCTAGGAGGCTGTGGCACGCCTCTGACCGGACACCATGTCGTCTGCCTTCTCTTCCCACCACACCATGCTGCTTCGTGCTCCTGCTTCCCCGTCAGATGGAGAAAGTTCCAATCACTCATTTTACAGGAGAAGAAACTGAGGCCTAGAGAGGTGGGGCATTCTCTCATCAGGCATTTGCCAGCCTGTGTACCCATTACGGTTGCCTGTTTTAAGCCGCCACTTTTCCAGATCCATCCTTTGATTAAGCTTACCTCCCCATGGCCCTAGTTCATTTACGACCTGAAACTGTTTTTCGAATTTCAGTGCAGTTACTTCCGTTTAAGATGCAATATGGGCCTGCAAAGCGCTTAGCCAAGAACAGGTATTTTAAGAGTGGAACACATGATTTGAAATCAAGTGCAGGCTATAAGCATTTTTCAATTGTTAATAACTGATCCAAGCCTCCTCCATTAGATCCCAATAGAAAGTGAGCTACTTGGGAATAGGAATCGTTTAATTTCCTTTGCTTTTGGTTCCAAGCCCCATACCTAGCATACGAGGAGCATGACACCTGGCAGCAGGTGCACAGTGGGGGCACTTGTGATGCTGATTATAATTAGGGGTGGAGGGAGAATATGTCAAAACCTGGAGTTGTACCTCGGGCACAGGTGGCAAAGCCAAGTATGCTCACGTAGTCATGTGCCAATTTGGGGAATGTGCTCAATACCAGACCAGTCACGTGAATTTAGAAGCGTTGCAGGCCAGGGCCAAAAGTGAACTAAGAGATAAGCAGGTCAACATGAAACAGCCCAAAACACAAAAAACTGCTGCTAACCCCTAGTCCCTAGATACATTTAAAAAAACTCAACTTTAAAAAAGATAAATTAGGGGGTGATTCTGATATTCTGCTTTGCCCCAGAGTTAACTTTTCATGCAATGAACTGAAGGACTCAGGATCAGCCAAAGTTGCAGGAAGGAAAGTATCCTCAAAGCAAAAGAACCAAATGAACATCAGTCTTTAAAGAGACTTTTTTTTAAATGACCTAAGCTGGGGAAAATGGGATTGAAGGCCCAGAACATGTCTCTGCAGGCCAGGGCTAGGATGTAAATAAAGCAAGGTGCACCATCTGTGTTGGACTGAAGAGAAGAGACAAGACTGTGCAGAAAACCTTTTAAAGATAACTTCGGTTTAATAAGTGAAGTTAAATGGAGAACGTGAGTTTGCATTTGACATCATATATAAACAAAACCAAGGAGCTGGGGGTCTCGACAAGGGGGAGTACAATTCCTTGGGCAAACAGTGGACGTGACCCACGGTGGCAGTACACACAATTCTGAATACAAAACAAACATCTGCAGTCTCCCATCCTCAGGAAACTTAAAAATAAGGGTTTGACATGTCATTTACAAATACACAATATAAAAACAGAGACCACTCCGAACAGAACATCAACCCAATCCACTTCTCTAACTTCCCTCCCTCTCCCCCTACTAAATAGGCCATTGTGGTGAATTCCAAGCATCTGCCATTCTGTCTTTGCCAAGAATGATGGGCCGTCTACTCCACCGGGCACCAAAGGAGTAGCCTCTCAATGGCAGAAAGCTGCCCCAGCAGCAGAGCTCTGCAGGACGGGGCTCCAGCTCTCTCCACGCCACCCTGGGCCCGCCTCTAAAGTGAACGCTTCCCTCATGCTGCCTACCCTCAATATGAGGGAATCATTTAAAGCCATTTAAATCCACACCAGCCTTCTCTGTCTCGCTCGGTACAGCCCCAATCTGTACTGTGATGGACCTAATAGGACAAAGTAGTATTTACAGAGGATGATGGGGGGTTCCCCTTGCCAGCAGAAATAAGGACACAAAATGGCTTCCTAAAAGGCATTTTCACATTTCCCATCGAGTCCGATTCACTTTTTCAGGAGCATCTTGGCAAAGTCGGCATTGGACATCTTGGGCGCCTCTGTGGGTGTTGAAGAGGGTCCAGGTAGGGTCTGGAGTGTCCCATTCTCAGTCTTAGGGCCAGGATTGGCGGGGCGCTGTAGCGCTCGCGGCAAGAGCGAGAGCTGGGTCCTCCCCTTACCCCGCCTAGAAAGGGAAACATCTTTATGTACAGACTAAAAGCTGTAGTCATCCAAGTGCATACAAACAGTTTCAGGATCTTAAGTTAAATAAACGAAAAGGACGCGGCCTAACCTCTTGGGACACATTTCTGGCAGGTGAACTCAGCAAGGTTACATGACCTGTTCAAAGGCAGAGCTCAGCAGCCCAAGGTTTCTCCCCCTCTACCTGTCAGCCTCATGCTGCCCTCTGGGGAGTGGTCCCCTCAGTGACTGACCCCCTCACTCCCCCACTGCAGAGACCCAGGCTCCCCTCAGGGATGAGCACTTACGCGCCATACACCTGCCGTGGCACCAGGGCCCCCGCCGCTCTCCCTGCCTCAGGCCTGTCGGGAAGCTTCCGTTGAGGAGGGTTGCTGATGGCCACTTTAATGACATTTTCTTTAATTGTCATACCATCCATTTTCAATACAGCCTGAGAAGCCTGAGCCTCATTCTCATATTCTACATAGGCAAGGCCCTGAAGAGAGAACAATCACAATGTAAAAAAAGGATAATTCGACTTCAATTAATTTACTTACACGGTGACATGTCAAACTACCAAAGGATTACTTTATAGGACTAAAAAAAAATAATAAAATTCATCTGGAAGAATAACATGTCAAAGAATCTCAAGGGAAAAGAATTTCAAGGGGAAAAAAAAGTGGGAAGGAAGAGGGCACCAAGCAGTACTAGACCTCAACCTATACTACAAAACAGTATCATCAAAATAATTTGGTACTGGTTAGAAAAAAATAGAGATCTGTGAAATAAATTAAGTACATAACACATACAAGAAAATGAAACTTGCAGCCTCATTTAATAAACCCAAAGATCCCAGCTCCTAAGGGCTCAATACTGACACAAGCTGCCGGGAAACGTGGACAGAAGCCTGACAGAAGCCAGGCGAGATCGCTATCTCCCCACATCCACCAAGAGAAGTTCCAAATGGGTAAGGGATCTAGATGTCAGACACAGGCTGAACAGATAGTAAACAAAGGAAGAACCGAACTCGAGATCTACAGATGGAGAAGCATTCATAACCAAGTGAAAGACCACAGAAGAGAAACTGGACAATTGTGATTGCATAAAATTAAAAATTCTTGTACAAACACCCCAAGGCAGCAAAGGTGAAAGAGAAATCGGTAACTGGGCGAAAACACCTCTGCGGCAAGCTTCTCCAATAAAAGGTCTCATTTCCATTAAATAGAACAAACCGATTCAAACACATAAGAATAAGACCCCTTCCCCAGCTGACAAAGAGTCAAAGAAGACGAGTGGGCAGTTCTCACATCCAAACTACCAAAAGCCATATGAAAGAATGCTCCAAATCACCAGGAGAGAGAAACGTACATTAGAGCAACCCAGAAGCTCTACGTCACGTAGATCAGACTGGCAAGTGGACAAAGAAGGACGAGTGTCCCTGTTGGGAAGGCTGTCCATCAGTGCGCGGTCCATAGTGCTGGGCCTAGGTCCTGCACCGTCAAAGGCTGCTCAGAACCCCATCCCAGAGTCACTAAGCTGGCAAACCCTCTGAACCCATGTGACCTGATAGTGGGCCCCAAAGATTTACAAAAATATGGATGGCCCCACTAAAACTGGGAACCACGGAGTGCCCAACAACTGGGAAATAGAACGGAATCCAACTGTGCTCGAAGACATGATGGAGGAGACTATTTCAAAGAAGCATGGCAAGACTTGTCTGAACTGACAAGAACCAAAATAAACCGTTCTGAAAGACCAAAGACAGCTCAGAAAGCCTGTTAATGAGAACATCCTCCACAGAAACATCAGCAGGCTTCTGTTATTTCTTCCCTATCTCTCTTGACCATACTTTTTATCTTTCTATCCTGCTCTTTCTCCTGGTGCAAGGACTAATTTCACAGAATTACGCAACGTTGGCACCGAAAGGGAACTGAGAAATCACCAAGTGTGATGTCCCTATCTCCCAAAGGAACAAACTGAGGCCTGGAAGGGGGATGTGACTACAGCAGACCTGGGGTTCACACCCCATCCATCTAAGGCACGTCCAAAGCTCTTGCTCTCTCCCTGAATTGTCCTTAAAACGGCTTGCAGGGCAGGCGGGCCTCCCATGGAACAAAGCCATGGAAGGTCAGTCACGGTGCCCTCTGAAGGGCCCTCATCCCTCCCCATCCAGGCCGCTCACAACACCCCCCCGGGCGCAGGCTCTCACCCATCACAGAATGCTTTGCCTCATATACCTTGGGTTTCCCAGCGCGGTTGGTGACCAGCCGGAGGTCTTTCACGCTGCCGTGCACTTTGCATATCTCCTCCAGTTCTTCCTTTGTGCAGGAGAACGGCAAACCAGAGATGAACAGCTTGTGCTTTTCCAGGGCCGTGCTGTACCTGAACACCTGCGGAGCAAGAAAGACAAGAGATGGGATGAGATGGGCTTCGCACCCTCGTGGGCCCAGCCTGGTGACACAGCAGGGGTAGAAGGGGTCTTCTTTGTCAAAGCTGCCTAAACAACTCCCTAACTTCAGGACTAACCTCCAGAGGGAGGACGAGGCCAGTTCTCCCAAAAACACCCCAAAAGCATACCTTGAAATCTGGATTCTTGTTCTTGTCCACACAAGGCGAGACAAACATCGGCCTTCCGTCCACAGTCTTCCGGTCCAAGCTCAGGGCTTGCAGGGCCGCCTTCTCCTCCTTAAACTCGACGTAGCAGTAGCCCCGGAAGTCCCCGCGGTTGTTGAATATGGGACGGATCTCGGTGACCTCCCCACAGGCCTCAAAGAGGGGCCGGAGCTTCACGTCGGGTTCCGCCAGGCTGTAGGGCAAGTTGCTGACAAACACCGTGACGCTGTCTTTGTTGCTATCGTGAACCACTTTGGGCATCTCCTTCTTGACGGCAGCAGCTCTCTCCTTCTGTTTGGAAGGGGGGTCTTCCGTCGGCGCGCTCCTCCCAAAGAGCCCCAGCTCCACGGTCATGCTTTCCTCCTCTCCAGCCAAAGGAAGGCTGCTCCCGGCTCGGGGACGCTTGCTGGGCTGCTCTGCAGATTCCCAAAACAAGAAGGTACCAGCTGTCAGGCACCCCTCCTCTACCCCTGCCATCATGGGCCCACACCGAGGGAAGGCGCCCTCCCGGTCTGTGCTCCTGCATCTCTCACAACATCCTTCCCAGATCTACTCCACGCCTATGACTCTGACTCCCTGGTTAAAAGGATATTTTTCTGCTGACAAATCTGCACCAAGAAATGCCCCGGGAGGTACACGGCACCTTCGCTCCCGCCCAAGCTAACCAGGTGACCGGCACTACCTTCTTCCTCGCCCCCCCACGCGTCGTCATCATCGTCGTCTGCCTCCCGCTTGTCCCCCGCCTTGGCCTTCCTCATCTTCTTGAAGGCTCTCTTCTCAGCCCGGGCCCTCTTCCGCTGTTCACTCTTCTTTTCTTCCTGCTGGGCGAGGGCGGCTTCCTTCTCAGCGGCCTGCAAACATGGAGACGAGTTAGTGGGGAGGCAACTAAATCCGTCACTCTGGCTTCCAGCTATGGAGAGGAGAAGAGGGGCAGAGCCTCAATCATCCACATTTAATGGGCAACATGCTCTCTTAGCACTATTACCTGAATGGGAAATGAGGCAAGAAGAGGGGGTCGTTAAACCTGCTTCACAGCTGCTGGCATGAATTCACGCTCCCACTTTAAGGGAACCTTGAGACTCTGAGGTTTGTTTATTCTCACAGCAAACAACTCCCCCCCAAGACCTGAGGCGCCTGGCACGGGTGCTCCAGGCCATCCTCGTGTGCAGCAGCAGCAAGGTCTGTCCCAATGAATGTTACTACCAAAAATCACCCACTGAAAAGACACTCGGTCCTTTTTACAATTTCCTTAGGAAGACTTCAATTTCCAAGAACATCTGTAAGAATGCTACAAGACAGGAACTGAATGTCACCTCAATTTTTTAACATCAAAATTAGCAAATTTTTCCTCCCTGAGAAGGACATTTCAAAAGAGGTTATCTGGAGATTTTGACAAACATTCAAGTAAAACATCTTGCTTAGATAAGAGCCATTATCATCAACTCCTCAGCCATTCACAGAATATCACTACCTTGACTCTCTGCTCATTAACTCGAGCTAATCGATTTTCAGTCTTCTGAACTGCTGAATCCCAATCTTCCAGAGTACCTAAGTGAGAAAAGCAATAAATGAGCTTTGATTTCCTGCGATTTCTGAAAACTTTATAGAGGAAATTAAATCTCAGTCACCCCTCCACACTCCCTAAGACAGAACCAATCACACAGTATCAGCATCAGAGCCAACACCCACCTGATCCATCCAACAGTCCAACAAACAAGGCTTGTGCTTAGGACCCTCCAATGAGGCATCAGCCCACTGAGGCAACCCCTTTTTGGAACCTCTGATTATTAGGAAATGTTTCCTTAAAGAGATCTCCCCCCATTATATAAAAAAGGGGGGGGTGTGAATGAATCAAGTCCCCAAGTCCTCTGCTTAATACATGTATGGTTGTGGGCAAGTCTCTTAACCAATCTGAGTCTTAAGCATCTGCAGCTACAATATAATGGCTTCAGACCAGATGAGTCCCAAAGGATCTCTCTCTCATCTATATTTAAATACTTCAAGAAACACTCAACCAGTTTAAGCTTTGAGTTGGAATCATGAAGAGTAGCTAAAAATCTCCCCACTGGAAAACTGGTATAACCAACACCAGAAATGCCAGAATGCAAAACATATGGCTTCAATGCCAAGACAGACAAAAAGTAAATGCTATTAACAGCAGGTCACACCAGATATTTGTAGTTAGTTCGTAATCAAGCACTCAAGGAAAAAAGGTTTCTCGCTCAAAGTGAGAGCCATTCTTTTCTACTGCATAGCGGAGTTCTCTGCAGAGGAAGGAGACCAGGGTACAAAATGCTGCATACACTGTCAAACTTTGTCGGTATATTCATTGGTTGTGCTGAACTGTTGGGTTTTTTTTATTCCTTTATTCTTTTTTTGCAAGGGGTGGATTGCATATTTTGTCTCAATAATTAATCTTGAAAAACAGAGCCAGGTTTCTTTTTTGGGGGGGGGGGGGGGGGGGGGGGATGTTACAGGTAACAAGAAGGTTTTGCCTGAGATGACTTTACCTTTTTTAAAAGGTGAAAATTCAAAATAAAGTGATGGCACACTAGGAAGGGGGAAGATAAATTTGGAAACAAAGGTAACATAAAAGATAGAAATAAACTTTTTTAAAAGATACGAGAGTTGGCTCCACAACTCAACTCAAAGTATAGAAAATGTCTCTAATCAAGTCACACTTTTATAATTTAACATCATTAAAAATTATTTTTAGAATTATGTTGTCAACATTTTTTTAAAACTTCCTAAAGAGCTCAATAATCAGAACTCTTTAATTAGACAAAGGTACTGGCTAAATAAAATTTTCACTGTCTGTATGAAGTTACTATGGCCAAGTCACAAGCTCTAAGAACCTCAGTTCCACATCTATAAAACATGGAAAATACTTTTTATAGCAAGAAAACATCCTTCATTGCAGTTTTCACTGTATGTCAGTAAAAGGTTTTCTCTCTCCTACATTTGAAACGAGCTTACACAGGAGAGGCAGCAGTTAGTAAAAGAGAAGCATCTCTCCTGTGGTCAGTGAGGCTCTTTGTCACGAGGTCCACAGAATCCAGAAATCAGTCACGCTGGGTTCACAACTGGCTAATCAATGGCCCCCATGAAGATCTACTGGGTTTCTAGGGAGTAGAGACAAAGCCTTATACTGGCTGTCTGTCTGTCCTTCAGGGGCCAGACAAGCTAAGTCACAGATTAGAGAAAGACCAAACACAGGACTGAGTTGGAGCTGCCCATTACACCTGAGAAGAGACTTTTCCTACAACAGTCTTTCTCTTACGTCGTGAAAGGAATGCCCCACCTCATCTAGACTTGTACTACCTCTACCTATCTCAAAGCATCTTGGAAAAGGCAAAGCTCTATAGAAAGGTGCCTTACTACTGCTACCTTCTGATCTTCCATACTCTTCCTCTTGTATGCTGTCACAGTTAATTACTATTGAATAGTAACAATTGTAATCTAGCTTGGTGGGCAGATCCCTCTGATATATATTCTGTCCTCATCTCAATGGCAGACTAACTCAAGTCAATTCACATCTCTGGGTCTCAGTTTCCTCAAATAACCTAGTTTCTTCCCTGACGACATGGGCAAGATTCCAACAGCTGGGCAAGCCACAAGAATTATTCACAACTGCTGAAGTCAGACAGAAGAACACACTGACACACAAAAAAAGAAAACCTGACATCCAGAGCTGCAGCCTTGTTTTGTCTCACAAAGATCAGAAAAGACAAGACGTCCATCCTTGGGATCAAACAACCACTGGATCCGTGTGCACATGACAGCCCCGTACGGCCACCCGGGCTCACCTTCGATCCTCTCGAGTGTCAGCAGCACCTCGCAGACGTGCTCCGGGTAGTCACTGGTCCACTGAACGGCCCGATGCAGAGCCTTCCGACAGTGCTGGGTGTCCCCGTGTGCCCTAGAGCACAACCACAAAGAACTGGTGCCTCCAGGAAACAAAGCAGAAAACACACAAAAGCAAACACACCATCCCCTGTCCATCCCCTATCGCCATCTATTGAAATCCTAACAATTCAGCTCTCTGTCCTGAGAGGGCCTGGCTCTGCCTATGAGTCACAGCACTGCAGCTTTCACCTATGCAAACCCATGCAGAGGCACAGTCAAGGCGTCTTCTCAATTAAGTCTAGAGGTGAAGAGGAAGGAGACTGCACAAACTGATGATCCAAGCCTGGACAGCCTCCTTGATTTGCTGCATGTTGACTATCCAGGGACCAGAGTGGCCTCAACCCAACACCTGGCAGGAGGGTGCCCAGGGATGGGCTACAGGCAGGTCAGTTTTTACCAAGGCATACTGATGATGATGATGATGACAGCTAACATTTACATGAGCAATTATTATGTGTCAGGCACTGTCCTATGTGCTACACAATTATAATCTAATTTAGTCAGCACAACAACCCTGGGAGGAAGGTGCTACTATTACCCCAATTTTACAGATGAGAAAACTGAGGCAGACAGAGGTTAGGTGGCTTGTCTAGGGTCACACAGCTAGGAAGTGCATGGGTTAGGTCTTCTTGACCTGGCGCTCTTGTGCACCGCGCTACATCGCTGCCCCCAACTTCAGCTAGTCTACAGTAAATTCAGAGAGGCTCAGTTGCTAATAATCTTTTTGTTCACTATCTTCAAGACCATCTCCCACAGAGAGATACTGAGCTACACTATCCACACCAGAAAAATGGGCGACCCAGGCTACAGCAGAAATGACTCTAACTTGCTGAGAGGAATTGGGCGTCACAGTTCTACTGTGCTCTTACTCCTGTGACACTCTGTGAAGGGAAAAACACTGACTTTCCTGACAAGTCTCGCCCCCAGTGAGTCATCAAGCAGGCCGGGCCTTCCTGAGGCTCAGAAAGGTCCCAGGCAAGATCTCTTTGCGTCTCCCCATGGGCTGGCACACCGTGCCCAAGGCACTGTAAGGGAGATCAAGACCAGAAGGTGCTCTGGCCTCGGGGAGATGCCCACACTAGAAAGCAGGAGCCAATCGAGGGAAGCAGCCCTGGTTCGCTCCCTCCCCAACCACCTACCTGTCCTCTACTCAGCTGCTAACATGGTCTTCCCAAAGCACATGCCCAATCATGTCACTCCTGCGTCCAATGAACTTCCTATTACCCCCCAGCTCAATCAAGTCCCTGCTTTGGTATCCGAGGTCCTTTCCAGGCCTACCTCCTACTCCCCTCCACACCAGGATCCAGCCATCCCACACGCTCTCACTCCCAGCCTCCAACTCTCAGAATACCTGGCACTTTTTTAAGCTTCAACTCAAGCACCACCTGCTTCAGGAGGCCTTGTCTGGTCCTGCCAGCTGTGAGCACCTCCCCCCATAGGATGACCTTCCGGATGGAGTCTATATTTATCTTGGACATTCTGATTCACAAATGTTGCCTCCCCATTAGAACTTCAACTCCGTGAAGGCGGGGCGGGCTTGTCTGGTTTTTCTTGTGTGTCCATAGCATGCGGCGCGATGCCTGCCACAGTACGTCGGTTAACTGATTCTGTCTGTCTAATAACAAACAACTGGGTAGTTATAACTCGTCTATCTACAAATATAAGAACATGCTTTCCTGACTTCCATGGCCCTGGCAACGTGGCTCGCTGCCTTCCCGTCATCACCGGCGGCCCCCATACACACTAAGCTTTAATCCTCCTACGTCAGTCACTTCAGAAGCCCAATGATGCCCACAGGCCACTCAGTTACCGTTCCAGGTTGTAGTATTCCAGCCACATGTTGGCATATTTTGCATTTCCTTTTGTCATAATGCTATCCCACAGTTCTCGAGCTTTCTGCATATTGTTACAAAGGCGTGCCTACAAGATGTAGAGGAGAGCATTTAAAATGTCAGACGACTTTGGTTTGAATGTGCTCAGTAAGTAATTACTTAGTAGTAAGGGCAGGTAAGTCCACAAACAGTTCCGGTCCAACCTGTTGAGACCCAACAGATATTAACCTGGCTAACACTCCAACCAAATGTGAATGCCAACATAGGTGCAAATTCTACATAGGCACAGAAAATTCAAGTATTTTTAATCCAAGAACCTCAAAGACTTTATCAACAGTGACAGGATTTTGCTTTTCATTTGCACTATATACTTCATATGTAAGTGTTTAAGGTATCAATAAGACTTTCTGGTTCTATCTTTTTAACCAGTAAAGATTCATTTACATGTCTACCTGGTGGCTCACATTTCACTTTTTACAAATAAAAAAAAAAACCAAACTAATACACCATCATATGATTTAATTCAACTACTTCAGAAGAGTCTGGATCTTAACTTGAGACTCAATTATTCCAGCTGCTATTAACCAGACCAAAATCCTGAAAGACTGGATAAAATTGCAAAACTTTGAACAAAAACATACCTCCACTCTTGCCCAATTCTGCATTATGGTACAGGATGGATCTCCACTTTCACTGAAACCTTAGAAGAAAATAATTGAAAAAATGAAGAAAACGCCTCCAAGAGAAAAAGCGTCAACCCCAATGCCCCAAGGCTAAAGCAGAAGGTGTCTTACGCTCCTCCACTTCTTGTTTCAAATACTCCAGTGCCCGAGCAAAGGCAGCTCTCAGCTCCTCTAGCTCTTTGCTTGAATCTGGAAGACAAGTTGGAAAAATGAAAGGACGGCTTGGAATGAGGGAGAGTTTCAAATGTCTTTCTCCTCTTCAATGATCTTTCACGCCTGGTCAATCACCCAACACCCACACAACTCAGCTCTGGGAGCAAGAATGTTCTACTGTACAGAGCACAGGGCAAACAGGATGACAATGAGCTCCAAAGGAATGTCCAAGTTATTTTGTAAAACTAGAATTTACTTTTCTTAGACTCAGATACAAAGGAAGCTGGCCATCGTACAAGAGCTTTGAAATATTCTCCTCTAGGGAGAATACTTATTATAATACTATATAATACTACTTATTATAATCAGTGCAGGAAACTCCCACTGGGACAACTCCATGTGCACAACTCAAGAGTCTTTGGCGTTAGCAGGGGCCTTCAGAGGTGAAGTGATTTACCCCGGGTCACACAGCCCCAATGGGTCAGAGACAGACCTTTTTCGGGGGGTCAAGTTACCCACATTTCTCTCATCTCTCTCCATCTCTACTAACACAGCCACAACCCTGGGACAGGCCCTCCTCGCCTCTCACTTGGACTACCACAATGGACTTCTGACTGGTCTCCAGTCCTCCAGTCTCTCCCTAGTCCAGACAACCCTCTGGCTACCCAAGTGACCTTCTAAGCTCTCTGTGACCTCCCACTCAATGACCTCAGGCCTCAGGTGAGACCTGGGCATCTTCCATCTCCTCCCGTGCACATGCCCTGAGGGAAGGCCACAGGGGGCCTGCAGTGCCTCCTCAGCCCCAGGAGACTCCTACTTCCAGTGCCTTCTCTCTCCTGCTGCTGCTGCCCATGTCCACTAAGGGAAGGACTGCCATCTGCACTAGCACAAGGCAGCTGCCACCTCCTGCTGCCAACCTAATGCTTTGCTACAAACTAGAGCAAACTTCCCTTAGGCCTCCTGCTCCTGCTGCTGCCCCATTTCCTGCCACAGAAGGAAAGAGGAGTAGGCCAGATCTTCAGAAAAGTGGCCACCTGGCCAAGCCCTACGCCAGTGGGGTCAAACTCAGATAGAAACCTCTTCAGGCTGCACCCTAAGAAAACCACAAATTGAAATTATCTACGATGCATTGTATTTTTACTTATTTTAAATTTTGGGCCAATGCCCGTGCTACTCTGTCCCTCACCTCCACCATGCCTTCCTCTGAGACCTGGTTCAGGCCTCACCTTCTACAGAAGGCCTTTCCAATACTCCTAGCTCGGAGTGCCTTCCCCTCTGAGCTACCCTCCTGTCTGCCCTGCATCTATGTCAGAGATGCTTAATTCCTTACAAGTCTTCACCACTAGAATGTAAACATCACAGTCTCAACAACAGGTAGTTTTCATCCACCTGTCTTCTTCTGTATAGATATGAGGCACTTTTAGGAGGCTAGGGAATCATCCAAGTTTGATACTGTCCATCAGGACAAGATCTGGGAAAAGAGGAGCATTTGGAAGGGCTCAGCTATGGCGTCCTTCTTGTACTGGGACTCTCCACGACAACGGTAAAGACCCAGTGGATTGATTGAACTGCCCCTTCAACTAGCATCGAGAGATAGGGCAGATGAAAAAACTAATGAAATCTTAGGCTGCAGGGGGAACGGGATGGGATGGGCCACAGCACTAGAGACATCTGAAGGACTGGAATACGGAAGAGGGAACAGACTGGCTCGGCTTGGCCCCCACGAAGCAGAATTGGGGCAAAGCAATAGGTGGAAATGGCCAACAAACTGATTTAGTCTTGCCAAAGGGAAAAACTTCCTACAAATGAAAAGCTGTGCAAAAGGCACCTGAGTCTTCAGGAGGTCAGTGCTCCCTCTTTATAAGTCCCCGAACAAAAGGGGAATGAGCGACCGCTTGTCTGGGATATTGCCCAGAAAAAACCCTTATTATGGACTAGACAATAATACTGACAGAAAGATGGGGGGCGGGGCTGGGGACAGAGAGAAGGGGGAATGGGAGAGACAAGAGCCAGGGGAGGGGGAGAAAAGGGGAGGCAGTGGGGGGCTTGAGGACTCACACACTCTGACATCCTCAGTGTCTCCATGGGAAGCCTAGGGCTCATTCATGCATTCAACCACAACTTCCCTCCCTCTCTAAGCTTGACTTCTAAAGATGTCAATACTGATATAAACTGAGTCCTCTAGCAGTAGGTCAACTTCACTACCAGACAAGAAAACCAGCTGAGGGGCAGCTAGGTGGTACAGCAGATAAAGCTCCGGCCTTGGAGTTACAAGAACCTGAGTTCAAATCCGGCCTCAGACACTTGACACTTACTAGCTGTGTGACCCTGGGCAAGTCACTTAACCCCGATTGCCTCGAAAGAAAGAAAGAAAGAAAGAAAGAAAGAAAGAAAGAAAGAAAGAA